CGTTTTTCAAACGTGTCCCCCGGATATATATATATATAATATCTGCGTCGATTTTCCTGCGATCCGGAGGAACGAAAATGGAGGGTCCGCTGCGAGAACGCAGGTGATAAATGTCTTCCTTCGGGGAGAGATATATTTGAGATTTTGCGATCTATGGGAGTTTTGGTAGATTCGAGATAGGTTTAATGCAGAGGACGTTTCTGTAGGTTTCTGGGGAGAATAGTTATTCAGAGTTTCTGTACTCCTCAGGTTCGTTTAGGAATCGAGTAATATATTTATTCTATCGATACTTAAACTTCAGGGTAACTAGGAATTTCCAATCGATACAGATTCCTGTCGTCCTCTAAATTTCTAATAACACATTCCTCTCTACTGTTTCTACATTGAATTAAAACTTCCATCAAAGAAAAACGAAGACTAAATATCACAAAGCTGGTGAGGAGGAAAGAATAGTACTGCTCAGGTTCGTTTAGATAGGAATCGAGTAATATATTTATTTTATCGATACTTAACCTTCAGGATAACTGGAAATTTCCAATCGATACAGATTCCTGTCGTCCTCTAAATTTCTAATAACACATTCCTCTCTACTGTCTCTACATTGAATTAAAAGTTCCATCAAAGAGAAACGAAGACTAAATGTCACAAAGCTGGTGAAGACAGTTTCAAAACAAGCGCAGAAAATCGCGGATTATTCACTGTCGATGCTTTCCCTTTCTGGACATCAGATTTTCTACCGAGGAAACGCGAGACCGAACGAGCACATAGAGAAAGAGAGAGGAAGAGAGACGCTGTCTCCCTTTGTGACATCGGCAGTCAGCTATCTCGTCGTCAAATCGAGCGAACCGTCCCCCGAAGAATAAGATGTCTACTTCTTTTCGGGCCGGCCCGATCAGATATACCGGTAGGAGAAGCCGTCGCCTTTGGATCCGAGGTTGATCCAACCCCCTGTCCCGCGATTCGAATCGAATCCGCATCGAGTGGATAATTCGCGTCGGAGTGACCCGGTGCCGGGAGAACAATGGCGGGAACCCGAACGTTCGCGCTTGCGATCTCTTTGCGACCGATACGCGACGCGTCGTCTTAATCAGCGCAACCCTCGAGTCTTGCGAAAGAAGATTCTGTGATTGGACGCACCGCTGGTAGAAGAATTTTATAGGCAGATTCGTAGACGTTCTCTAAATATGTTTCGTAAGTTGAGGTATCGAGGAGCGAGCAACGGAATTTTCGGTTCAACCGTAGGAGGATGGAGATTTGGTAATTTCGAGAACTACCGATATTTTTTCGACAGTTTTTAACCAGTTAACTGTGTTTGACGAGTGATACTAATTCTTTCAGCGATGAATTCTTTATTTTTTCATAAACATGTAATTCCTTGTTTCGCTGTGATCTTTCATTAACACGTTGAATGCCATGGGGTCACCGGTGAACCCCAAGCAAATCGAATTAGTATAGTTCACTCAATTAAACGATGATTATTCGCAAACATTTCTGTATTATAGATAATACTCCCCATTGTGGTGACCAATAAGCCAATTCAGTCGAATGATTTAATATTGTATTTTTTCCATTTTGTGTATTTTGCTCTATGAAATCGTGCAGCGTTCAACGTGTTAAAATATACTCTACGCGCTCGAAATTCCACAGTTAACTGGTTAAATGTACTTTTTATGAGATGCGTTATTCTTTTCGTCAAGTTTGGTATAATAAAACGACAGCTTTAGATAGGTCTAAGGTAAAACGAACGAAGTTTCTAGAAACCTAGATCAAAGTGAATACAGAATCCGTTATCGAAGGGTTAAAGAAATGTATAGACAGTTCGCGAGAGTAGATACAGAATCTTCTTTCCACGTGAAACGTGGACGAAAGGATGGTTCCGACGATTGGATACGAACCTGGTTCTGCAGGAAGAACTGCGCCTGAGCCGGAAGCTGTCCCGCCGCGGCGGGGTTGGCCTGCTGGAACATCGCGAACTGCTGCAACTGTTGCTGCAACGATTGCTGCTGCTGCTGCAGCGTCGAGGCCAACGCTTGGATCTCCTGCGGGCCGAGCGCGCCCAGAGAACCGTGCATCAGCAATTGCTGGCCAACCAGCTGAGCAGCGAGCGCTGCCTGCGAGTTACTGTTGTTTTGCTGGTTGGCCGTGTGCTGCTGCTGCTGATGGCTTCCGGTTATCTGGCTGCTCACCCCGGAACTCGGCGACGAGGCGCTGCCGCTGGTTCCGCTGCTGCTGTTGCGGTGGGACACGTCCGTGACCTGGTGGAGGTTATTCGGTTATTACAAGTACCGATCGTTCTAATTATTAACCCTTTGCGCTCGAGAGGTCTCAGTCACCACTCCGTTTGATACAGCAAAACTGTGATGTAGAATATTTAGTATTCGAAATTAAACTTTGTATTGCAATGAAATATTTAACTGAAGTGTTCCTTAATTTATCTGTGGATTATCGTTAAATTAGTTTCAATGTCGCCTGTACCTCGTCGAAGAATGTTGAATATTTCCAGTGAGAAGCTTTCGAGTGCAAAGGGTTAATTCTTTCACTTTCAGAACAACTGATCGTTCAACACTAGGTTTACGGAACGCGTCAAATTGCATATTGGATATTAGAAATATTATTTTGTAAATGTTCACGCCGATTTTGATTGATGCGATCACACATGTACCCCAATTGCCTACTATCGAATCTCCAGTTTCCACGATCTAAATAAACGAGCATCAATTCTTTTAGGAATAATAGAATGAAGTGTACAATAAATGTAAACCTAGTGTTAACTGGTTCTTCAATTATTCAGTTCTCCGTTTCGTTCAATCTTTGGAAGAACTCTGTTGCTGCTTTCTATAGATTCAAATGTCAAAACAGTGCATTAGGGCAATTCGGAAGAAATTAAATAAAGTTATCAAACAAAAGCGAATGAAATTACTTTTCTCCTCAATCTTATTCTCTGGAAGAACTCTATTGCTACTTTCTATAGATTCAAATGTCAAAACAGTGCACTAGGGTAATTCGGAAGGAATTAAATAAAGTTATCAAACAAAAGCGAATGAAATTACTTTTCTTTGTTACAGCTAAAATAAAATATTGCTGTCGTATCATTTGGGCGACTATAAACTCACATCTCCAGCTATCTACGCGCCGCGCTAAAAAAAGTGGTCGATCCTAAGGGTGCTTTACGAATTGGATGGACGTTACCGATGTCCCAACGTAACGCGCGGCGATTACATTCTTCCCTAGATTCGACGGAAGTGAAAAAAAAATCGATCTCCATAGAATCGTGGCCGCGAGCGTCACGCCGTAACGTGGGACCAGAAACACGAAGAACCGGAGGAACAGGCGCGCGGGCCACCCTCCCTAATATTACAGAGTAAACGGCGCCGAACAAAGACGTGTTTACACTCGGCCAGGTCAGGATATTGGTCACTACGGTCCATCCAGTGCTTTTGTGTTTTATAAAACCCACACGCCCTCTCCCTCCTCCCTCTGTCCCTTCCTGTCGTTCATCTCGCTAGTGGCTTCCTTTATTTATTTGCCAAATATTGAACGGGAGCACTTTTTGCACCGTGAAAAAAGCCCCGGATGCCTGCGACCCCAGAAATTTCACCGGAAACCGTGATCTTGAATATTACCGATGTCACTTTCGTCTGAGAACTGTTTCCAACCCCTAAACTTATTCGTGGTCGTTTATTTCTCGTGCTTTCGCTTTGAATGATTTTCTGGTAGCAATAAATAATCGTTTGGAAATATGTTACCTTAGAAAGATAAGGTACTTTGATTCGGGACATCGATTGTAGAATTTCTTTTGTGAATCTTAGTTAAGAGATGTTTTATTACAATAACTAAGCTGCATTAATATTCTAATCGTTAATTGAACCTTCGACTATTGATATGAAATGGTTTCTAAACTCTTCGGAACATGCGTACTTACCAGATTGAGAGCTTCCCTGTCCGAGTCCATGGAGTCATGGTCAAGGTTCGCCTCGGTGGCATCCTGGATGTCACTGGCGATGCTTCTGTCGTCTCCGCTAAGTTCGTGGCCGTCCACGTCTCCATGGAGGTCAGCATCTATAACAAAAAGCAAAGGAGCAATCGTTAAAATCATTTCTTGTGATCCCGGAAGACAGGTTCATATAACAGAAAACAAAGAGGGAAAAGGGAGTGCACGCGAAGAAGGTCGAACGAAAGGGTAACGGTAAAAAGGGAAACAATTCAACCCCGCGTACGAGAGTCGACGATTAATCGGCGAAGAACGAATTCGTACAATCATTGTTGTTTTGCGGCCTGTACTTCTGATGGAGACGGTAACGCGTGGGGGTGGATGTCGGCGTGCTGGTCGCATGTAGTCGCATGTCCGCAAAGATCATCCTGGGATCTTCGAGGAAGACCATCTTAGCCTCGTTCGTGTCCGAGGATCCTCGTGTCCCTTCACCAGCCGTCACATTAGTGCGGTTTCCGCGATCCACGACGCTCACCGCTCGCGATTCTCAAGCGTGGCAGTGGGGGACGATCCGCGACGATCGAACATCAAAGTGTCCCTCCCACCGTCGTCCTCCTCATCTCGGAAAAACGATCCACCGCACTGTTCACCGTGTTATATCGGAATTACATAAAATATCTCGTATCCCGCTCCAAGTGAGCATTAAAAAAAATTCAAAGATACCAGAGAACGTAAAGGAAGAATTCACATTTCAAATGCGGCTGATTATTCAAAGTTCAGGTTACTCGAATTTACACGTATATTCTATAATTAGCAATCACTGTTCGAGTATTCAAATCGAAGAAATTCACGTTCCATCGAATGCAAAAATGCAAATATAAGGAAGTCCATCAGTTGAATTAAAAATATATATACATATATATACATTCAACATGAATAATGAATAAATTAATAATCGCGCACAGTGTTGTATATACTCGTAGTACCGAAGCGACCGGAATCCTTAAGGGGCGCTCACATCAGGGAGACCGAAGGTCGCGCGGAACCGTCGGTCCTCGCCTCGCCGCCGGTACAGAACGAATGTCAGAATGACGCAACGAAATCGTGGCCCCAAACGAGCGGAGCCAAACCCTCCCCACCAGCGTCGCGCCGGGTAGGCCCTCGACGATTGGTTCCTCGTGTTCGTGGTGTTCGTGCACGATTGGCCGCGACAGGGCCGAACCCTTTTCGCCTTTCTTCGCGCGCGCCCCTCTACGCGGCACGCGAAAATCAACCCTTCGCGCATCCATCATCGTGTCTTATGACCTACCTCCCTCGCCACCCCTTTCTTGCCGCGTCCACCGGCGCTAAACGCGCCCCCCCCCGAAAAAAAAGGGCACCGCGCCGGGTATAATGGCACGGAACCGATTCGCCCGGATCGAGGAAACGAGCTTACCAACGCCATTCGCGCTCCGGCGCAACGGTTTTTAATAATAATTACTTCGATACGCTTGGGACACCCCTTTTTTGCGAAGGGAGCCGAGGCTTGGACGTCGCAGACGTGGGATCGAGCTTTGATCCTTCTGACAGAGAAGGATGGCGTTTGAATGTTGCAATTCGAAGTTTGAGGAATCTTTCGGGGGAGTTCGTTTGGGGGTAGCGTTTTTGGAGGAGTAGGGATTGTTTAGAATAGGGAATGTGAAAATGTTGGAATTTGAATTGTTAATCGAGTTATAGGGATGTTTCGGTGTTGGTAATTGGTGAGTTGGAATTGTAACTGTGGAGGGTGAGATTATGGAATAGAGGGAGTGAGCTGTGAGATTCACTGGAAGTAAACAGAATTAATATATATACAGAATTAATATATAATATATATATTAATATATATATACAGAGTTAATATCGATGAATTAGAATGAAGAAATTCTTAAATCCTGTTACTGGTTATAAAATTCATAGCTTGCAATGGAAGTCTAGAAAATCTGATGTACCATTCGAATCGGCTTCGACAACTCCGAAGAATCACGGTTAACAATAAATTCCCAAGGATCCTCTTCCGAGTCGTTAGGCCGTCAACTCTCGCGCCTCGGTACCAAAGTGAAAAACCGCGCGGGGCGCGAGAGCGGGCAAGGGTCAGTGAACCGTCCAAAGAGAAGAAGTCGCTCGGCCGCTGAGAGCAGACCCGCGGCCCCGAAACTTTCCCATCGCAAGTCCCGGGACAAAAGCGACGGAATAGAGATAAACGCTCGCGAAACGCCGGTAAAAAAGACGGCGGTCGCAGGTGGGGATGGGCGCGCAGCGGCACAAAAACGTTCCTCGCCGAGGGGTGGAAGAGAAGGTCAAGGCTGGGCGGCGAGCGGATCGAAAGAGGAAGAAGAAGAAGAAGAAGAAAAAAAACACATTTCGAAATCCTGTGAATCCTGTGAATTTCGACGCGACCGTTCGTGCTCGCCCCGATTTTCGCTCCTTCGCATCTGTGCGCGTCTCCCCTTCGTACCTGACGTGGATTCCCCAGAAAACGGCGAAAAAAAAGAAAGGAAAGATGGTAAGAGGGGGGAGAGACGTGACAGGTCAGGTAGAACGCGCCGAGAGAGATCGAGAAAAATCGTCGGTATTGGTGGATTCCCTATAAAATTTCAGTTACTCGTCCCACCGTCGTCGCTCCGCGCTCGATTACACCCCTCGCGCCGGGGAAAGCAGGTACACGCACTCGGTTTCCCTTTTTACCCCCGAATTTGCATCGTCGTTCCCCTCTTTTCACCGAAAATTACGCTTTTTTCGGCCGTGAGAAGCTCCCGCGTCCTCCGAACCCGGGAAAACAAGCGGCGAGAGGGGTCGGAAAGGATTTTTTCGGCCGAAACGCCGTAGGTTCCCATTTTTCCACCCCTTTTCTCGGCGCGCACGTCTCCCGCGACGTTTATCGCGGACCGTGGCCCGCCAGGTGCGAGATCTCGTCCGTTAACGGACGAATCACTTAGATAAGGAGACTCCCAGTTCTCCGTCGTTCCTCTTTTTACGCCGTTTTCTTCCCCACGATCGCGAGCCACGCGATTGGTTCTTCTTCGGCGCGCTCCTTGGGTTGGGAGAGTCCGCTGACGGTTTCGGCGAAGTTCAACGGACTTTTGGCGGTAAGGTTAACGGAGAGAAGATGGAGGTGACTGTGAGTGGAGGAAGAGAGGTGATACCGGTGTGCGTCAACGGTTTTTCAACGGAAGACTGTTTTGAAAAATTGTGACGGCATGGGAGAGCTGGTTTTTTTACCATCCCATCGATCGTCTAGAGAATGGAAGATTTGAGCTAATCTTCCAAAATTTAATAAATAAATCTTAAATAAATCTTCCGAATCTTTGGAAAACAATATCAAAACTGAACTGAAATTCTGTAGACATTAGAATATTAACACATTGCGTACCGGTAACAAGAAATCTCGTTTTTATATAGACACTTAACTATGCAAATTCGCTAATTACCACAGCATTGAGAAAATATAAAATTTCATTCGAATTATTTATTTAAAATATATTACATAACAATATGATATGAGTTTTCCTATGTATAGTGATATAAGTTGACCTCAGTGAAAATTGCCATCACAATTCAGTTTTCTGAAAATTAGCCGGTACGCAATGTGTTAATTATTAAAATTTATCTTAGATCTTCCGAATCCTTGGAAAACGGAATATCAAAACTAAATTTAGATCCTCTAGACATTAGAATACTGACACATAAACTATTAAAATCTATCTTAGATCTTCCGAATCCTTGGAAAACAGAATATCAAAACCAAATTTAGATCCTCTAGACATTAACACACAAACTATTAAAATCTATCTTAGATCTTCCGAATCCTTGGAAAACAGAATATCAAAACCAAATTTAGATCCTCTAGACATTAACACAAACTATTAAAATCTATCTTAGATCTTCCAAAATAAAACCGAATGAAGTAACAGAACGAAGTTCAACTGTCCTAACAATCAGAATATCAGCGAAGCAACTGTCGGCTGCGATTCCCAATTATTCCATCGGCGGACGATAAAACGGAATTCCAAGCGATCCAGCTGCGGACACGGAATCTCGCTCATCCGGAACAAGATCGTATCTCACGATCGCATCGGCGGGCTCTCATTGTCCCGCATCTGCATACACCGACGCAGGCTAGGTGCCATTATAAATGGGCCCGGGCCACAATGCCCCCTGCCCATGCAATTTCCAGGCATTGATGCCCGTTTAACGTTCGCGCGGGTGACACGGTAACCGTCTATCCATCACCCACCCACATTTACGCGGCGGCCGGCCTGCACGCGCACACCGACACACGGCTGCGACGCAACCGGGACCGTTCCGCGAAGGAGGGCTGCAGCTGGACCGTCCCGACCTTCGACGCCTAGATTTTCTCTTCCTTTTGCCGCTGCGCCGGGGGAAAACTGGGCGACGACCTGACCTTCCGAAATAACCAGAATCCGGGGAGACCACGGCCACGTCACGTACGTCAGGTGATAAAACGGGACAGGACACCTGAGCTGTGGACACTGTGCATCCCCTCGATCGTGGTTTTCGAGGAACGCCGATCGCCGATCGAAGGGTTGACTTTTCGCAGTCTCGGAACTCGAAATAAGACTTCTTGCTTGTTCGACGAAAACGTTCCTGGGAGATTTCGGAGCTTTTCGAAGAACTTTCTTGAAGAATTTTGGGATCGTTGGATCTTCGAATGGAAGTTTCGAAGGTTGTCTGGGCTTTGCCTTAATTGGTTCTTTGATTGGTTAGGTTAGTAACATTGTTTGAATGATTTGGACGTGTTAAGGACTAGAGAAGCTATAGTCCAGTGATTATCACAAACTATAGAAATAAAGTTGATAGAATTGTAAATCTACTAAATCTACGAAATGGTCTACTTATGATTGGCAGCATATTTTCCTCCATTAAAGGGTTATTCCACCTTTGCGGACATTTAAACGGCAATAACCCCAGAATTCAGGTGCCAAGCACGAAAACTGTCTGCGCTGTCCATTCAGGTCGCACTGTGAATATTTCTATCTAATTCGAGGGAACGCCTCGGTGAATAGCCGCGGCAGCTTTCTCCGTGCGCGACGCAACAATCGCCACGAAGAAGTTCCATTTTCTGGATGAATTCTGCCGTGCAACAAAG